TTATCCATCGATCTTCGACCCGTTAGCATTTCGAGCAAGACAACTCCAAAACTGTACACATCGCTTTTTGATGTCAAATGCCCTATGGAATTCAATAATATTGGATTTTAGATTCATGAAGAATCAAATGTATGTATGACTTTTGTACATGTTTATATGCCAACGAAGAAATACTAGCATCAAAGTGCTCTCACAACAAAAATGAATGAAATCAAACCTACCAGTCATCACATATTCTGGAGCTGCATAACCATAGGTTCCCATAACCCGAGTTGAAACATGAGTTTTGTCACCCTCAGGACCGTCTTTTGCAAGTCCAAAATCCGAGAGTTTAGCGTTGTAATCCTAAAAAAACGTTTTTAACCTTTTAAGAAAGCCTTGGGCTTGGGGATAACAAAATAAAGAAGCACATAATTTGGTACACATACCGCATCTAATAAAATATTAGACGTTTTAAAATCGCGATAGATCACTGGTCTTTCAGCTTCTTCATGAAGAAACGCAAGGCCTTTAGCAGCACCAAGTGCAATCTTCATTCTAATGGACCAAGGAAGTGGCAAGGGCCCTTCTGAGCAAAACATGGTAATTATCATCGAATATTAAACATGCAAAATCAATTGTTAAATATAAAAATATTAATTCTCCTACAATCACATCACAAATAAAATGAATGTGAAAAAATCACAAGATACATTGAGAGAAAACACTTGAACAATGTGCTTTTAACACAAAATCCATGGTGTCTGCACCCATATGTATGGATATATATAACCCTTAATTTCAATAAGCTCAAACAGAGATAAATCCTAGAGATATCTACCACAACATTCTCTTTTCATTTAAATCGAAAATGACACTCCAAATTGTAAGCCCAGCATTGTGTCAATAATCATGTATGTAGAATAATTCTTGTGAGTTTCAACTTTCTACCATACTTTATGGATGAATAGTTTCTGGGAAAAAGAAGTCACCTTCAGTTGATAAGAAGAAAAATAGAGGAGGAAATTAAAAAAAAAAAAAAAAAACGGAGGAGCTAACGAAAAACCAACTAAATTCGTAACAAATAATTACAAAATAATGGTTGGAGGGGGGAACAAAGCATTCTATGTAAGGGTGTGAAAACCTCTCCTTATCAGACGTATTTTAAAACCTCGAGGGGAAGCCCAAAAAGAACAATATCTGCTAGTGGTGGACTTGGACTTTTATAGATTATATAAGAGCCAGACACCGGGCGGTGTGCCAACAAGGACGTTGGGCCTCCAAGGGAGTGAATTGTGAGATCCCACATTGGTTGGAGAGGAGAACGAAGCATTCCTTATAAGGGTGTGGAAACCTCTCCCTCGCATACGCGTTTTAAAACTTTGAGGGGAAGCCCAAAATGGAAAGCCTAAAGAGGATAATATTTGCTAGCAGTGGGTTTGGACTGATACAAGAAAAAAGACCTCAATCCTATGCTTTTCTCTCCAAATATCCATCCAGATTTTGCTACCATCCTAAAAAATTCTTTGATATCTCAGCTTTTTAAAACCGTTTTGTGCACCAACTCTTCAAATGGTGATGTTCTAAGCCTTTCCTAGCACTAGCTTTCCCTATTTGTTTGGAATCCTTTCTTATGTCAAATATCAAATTATTTTAACAGTCAACTGATTGTCCTAACTTATCATTGATTTGACATCCTATAGAAACAATACATGACACCACAGTTCATATTTCAGTTAGAACAGCAAATGCCCATTCATTTGAGATACCGATACTATCCTACCAGAGTTTTAAGTCACAACTTTGACATTTGAAGCTCGAGATTCGTAGTGACTTCATTTTGTTTCCATCCATGATCAGATTGGCAGATTTTTTGAAAAATATGAGTGACCAACATTTTTAGTGACTAGGGAGACATAAAATGGTTAAAAGGTTAAGTCACATACTTCTGAAGAGGTGGTTCTCCAAACTTCCACGAGGCATGAACTCGTAAACTAATAACCTTTGATCATCTTCAATGCAGCAACCAATTAATCTCACAAGATTAGAATGGTTGAGATCACCAAGGAAGTTAACTTCAGCCTGAAATGAAAAGCGGGAGTAAATTTTAACAAAGAAAAGAGGAGGATACCCCAAAAGTCGGTGCGAGTGTGAGAGAGGTAGGTGAAGAGTACTCATACCATCCACTCTTTATGACCTTGTAGACCGTCATGATTAAGAGTCTTGACTGCAACTGTAAGCCCAGTTCCCGGTTTAGCAGGAGCAGTTCCATTCTCCTCAATCCATCCTTTGAAAACACAACCAAAACCCCCCTCGCCGAGAAGGCTCTCAGGTCTGAAATTTCTTGTGGCTAACTTAAGCTCATTAAAAGTGAACTTACGAAGCCGAGAAGCAACCTTCAGCTCGGCACTAAGCTTGGGCGTGGACGAGCTACTTTCAGCATTATCAGTAGTCGCTGATGACCCCAATGCAGTAAACAGAATAACTTTCTTTTCATCGAGTTTAGATTTACTATCTGCTAGTTACACATAATTAGAAGCAACATTTACAGATATATATCTAACAATAAGAATACCAATTAATCAGATTTTAGAAACATCTATCACTTATTCCCCTTGTTCTATATGACCAGCACATTTGAATCCATAATGTCCCTGTTACCTTCTAAAAGTTAAGTCCTCACTCCCTTGTTTGTGTATAAAATGTATTGAAATCAAAGGACAATATACCAAAAGAACATTGCAGAGAAAGAAAAACATGAATATAGAAGCTTTTCAAAACTGAATAAAACTTGCAGACGCTTCAGTTTCAAGTTAAATAATCTATCACTTTTAAAAGCTGGCATCTCAATTCACATAGTACTACCAAGCTTTAAATACAGGATACGCTTAAAATTGCATTGCTAGGGAATTTAATTCAGTAAACCCCTGACCTAATCACCACTTGAACTTAGTTATTAGCTTCACATGCTCCAAATTTTATGATAACACAAATTAAGAACAGCTCAAAGATGAGGATAATCTTCAATCCACTAAGAGACTAAATACGTTTCAGAATTATGTTAACTCATACAAACAAAAACCAAAAGAACAAGAAGTTTACCGCAATGGGTAGTGGTGCCACTAATGAAGCTATCGACCTTTGATCCACTTAAAGAACTATCAACCTTTGATCTAGAAGGAATGCAACTCCTAATGAACTTCAACCTAACCCAACATCCAGTCTCCGCCTTCTCCAACTCGTTTTCCTTCTTCTTCTTCTTCTTCTTCTTCTCGCTTGCTGTTCTTGACTTGCCCTCAATCCACGTCTCGACCTTCGAGCCATTAGGTGCCAAACCCATATCGTCTAGTGTCTTAAAAACAGATTTCAATACCTCATAACCCAGAAACCTCGCCTTTTATGGAAACCCCACTTGAAAAAATCAGCTCATTAACAACAAATTTCAACCGGTGGATTGCACGAACCAATACCCAAATCACAAAAATAGCAAAAACGGAGGAGAAAAGGATGATATAACAAATTGCCGAAGAACAGAAGGGGGAAATAAGAAAATAACTCAAGCACACTAAAAGGGAACTTAGTCAAAAGAGCCAAAGATGGGGAAAGAGAGAGAAATAGGTGGGAAAAGGAGGCCGCTCCCGAAAGAGGAAAAGCGTCCCGACAACGGGCAGGTTGGGCAGTTCATGACAATGGGTGGCAGTTGGTCGGGCAAGAGAGAGAAAGAACCATTGTTAGAGTAACTAGGATATTCCTCATCAAATCAAGTGCTTATTTACAGAGAGAAATGTATTTGGACGCTCATTTTCAAATTCGGCACTTAGAAATTGGCATAGTGATATACTCCAAAGCACTATAGTTCTTTGCTACATTATATTAAATACGGATAATGTATTTTATTTCTTAACAAATAGACCACATATTTCATTTAATTTTAACTGAATATCTTATCTAATTAATTATGTTGGAATTGATATTAAGGAAGATAATTGTTTGGATTAATTATTTAAACATATTAGAAAGTGGGATATTATTATTGACACGAATAAAGAATCTTTTTCTAAGAATAAATTATGGTTATTAATAGCATTGATGTGATGGAAAAGTGCTAGTGATTAAGAAGGATGGCCACTTCGCATTTATGTATCTATTGTGAAGGCCCAAACAGATATAAAATGTTTTTTCTTTTTTTTGTAAATAAAAAAAAAAATAAAATGGAAAAGATTGAGGAAGGGAATCATGGGAGGTTTGGTGAGGTGGGAAAAAAAAGGGTAAAATAAATTGGGAGTTTAAATTGACCTAACTAAAGCTTTTAATATATATATTTTTGTTTATATTATGAATCTCTTGATGAGGGAGCAATGGCCTCCCAATATTTTTAAAAAATTATAATATTAAATGGTACACAATAATGGCTCAAAATAATAATTATAATTATTAGTACCATGATAGATATTATATAGAATTTTTTTTGTGTAGTTTGTTTATTCGATTCTTTTCTGTAGTTTGTGTGAAACATACTATTGATAGTGCGATGAAGTGCATAGCAAAGTTTGTGAGCAAGTGTTAAGCATACTTGAGCAAAAATGAGGAGAGATAACTATGGACTTAATTGTTGTGTTATGTAAATAAAACATTAGAAGATCTGCTACACACTTGTGGCATTGAATTGTGAAGATAGTTATGACTCTCAATTGCATTTGATTGAGTTAGTGCACGATGACATTAAATCACTATTTGCATGATGCCATTTGATGGCCTTTATGAGGTGCAAGTTCATTGTGTACTAGATTAAGAGAGGGGAACGCAAGCTGTTAGACACAGTGTTGGTCCAAACCATAAATAAGACTTTCAAGTGATGTGTAAACCATGCAAAATAAAATTATGCAATGTTAGACGTATAGACTTAGAGAAATCAGTGGGAATATAAGGTGTTCCTGAAGGTAATAGCAATGTTCTCCTCCACTAAAAATAAAATCACCAGAAGAAATTAAATCATATAATTTAAAGATTTGAAACAAAGATCAAATAATGCATTCTCAACCTCCATCCTCATCTCTATTTGAAATCAAAATGTTCTGCCTAATTCGAAATAGGTCTTAGTTTTTTCCGAGTTTATAAAATTCACTCCCATAAATGATATTGCACATCACACATATTCCTGGACTTTATCTATTCACATCTAATGCCTACAGTTAAATTTTTGTCCTCAAAGATAATTTATGGTTCCTCTTTTACTCTCTGTCCCCTGTGTCACAAACAAAAAGAATAATGATCAAGTGGTGGGATTGGATTTTCAGGTCTCAATCCAGGTCAAAGTTCCCACGATCAAATATTTGCCAGGAAGATCCCCTGCCGATGGCGCTAGATATGTAATTTTCTTCCTGTCATCCACAAACAAATCCCATCGTTAGATTCAGAAGTTACAATTTCAGACTTTCTTCACATGCTTTCATCCAAATCATAAGCCTATTGTTTAGTTCAAACCTTTGGATGTCGATATCAGTAATATACACAAATCCAGCAACATTGCTGCACCCAAAGAGGAAAAAAATCGTCAACTCGTAGAGAGGGTTACATAACAGTTGTAGCCTTAGACCATGTTTTGAAATGGTTTCTAAGAGCTTAAAAAAATTTGTAGATGTAACAAATGAACTGATGTGATTTTTTGCTTTAATGGCACAGATCAGTATGAACGAATCAGGTTTTCAAATGATGGGAAAATGAAAAGGGTTAGAATTAATCCTTATTTTAGAGTATAACCCATGGATTACACATTGGTCATGTCTTCTACTCTTTTTGGATAGCTTTATAAAAGATGGAGACCGAAGAAAAGAAAAGCAATATTCCAAAAGAAATCACCTTGAGATAATTTCATCAGGTTCTTTAGCAAATGAAACAGCAAGAACCAAATGGAGCAAATCCCGATTAATATTGACAGGCACTAATCTTGTGGGATCTGCAGCCGGTTCTGCACCAATTGGCAGAGCTGAACGCGGGGCCTGTGGCCCACCTCCAATGCGATAAATAAACAGATCGCTGAAGTTTGCGATGTTTGAGTGGGGTGAGAGATCATTTGCAGGTCCATAAAAATATTCCTGCAAAACATCACAGCATTTTGTAATAGCCTAGTGAGTTTCAAAATGGAATAGAAGGAATTCCGTGGCAAGGATTCAATTTAGTCGAATCATTTGAGTAAGACAAATTGCATCAAGACTGAGAATGCAATTCAGTTGCCATTGTCATTTGAAAAGGTCAAAACAAGAGACTGTTAAAATAAAACCAATCATCCACCATTTATTCAACTTCCTTGCTTACCCTTATTCTGTAACTCCTGGCCTTCTGACGATATTTAGCGTTTCTGGATACAACACCACCTGACTTTTGAAGTTTCACAACATCTACGTAAGGCTTATTCTTTAGTACATCTTTGAGCATGCTCCAAAGCTTCTCCTGCAAAACAGTAAAATATTAAAAATATTAACGATCAATAATTCGATAAATTATTGTGCGTCTATTGCTTCAGAAGGTTGCCTTTTTTAAGGTACAATATTAGGAAGTTTTCTTTGATATTTATGGATAGAAGAGTATTAAGGATTCTAAATTAGTTTGAAAAAAATAAGAAAATATATTTAGAGCAAGTCTACTCATACTACTACTTTTGCTAGTTTAAACAGTGGGTTCTCTTCTAGCTTGTGCCTTGGCTTGACTTTTTTGAATACTCTTCTTGGTGTGTTCGATGATACATTTTCTCCCTTGGCACTCAACAACGTCCAATGAGTGCGACTTGCAGTCACCTTCCTTCTTCTTGCACTTTTGTAGGTCACAACTTGCTTTCTTCTAATACGGTTATGATACTCTCTCTCACTTTAACTAATCATCGTCCTCAACGACTTATTTGGGGGCAGAATCACATAGGGGGATTGACATAGTTTGCACATCTTTTGAATTTAGGAGTATATCACATCCAATTAGCCTTTATGTAATGATTACAATTGTACTTCATTTCCTTCTAACATCTGATACTAAGGGTTTATAATGTCATTATAATATTAAAACTGCTATATCATAGGTAAATAAACCAATACATAAAAGAAAGCACACGGAAAGAATACCTGAAGAGTTTTCAACAAATTCCAATTTCTAGTTAAACCAAGTTTAATAATTGAGAGAAACACCAAAAGAAGCAACTTACCTGACCCAAAACCAGGACAACATTAGCATTGAGTGTATCGATAGCATGTAGAAGCAGCTGCAGCAAGATATCAAACAAGAACAATGATACTTAACCAATTGTGGTAATGGAAATTAGCAACTGGAATGTGTAACATAATTGCATAATTTGTATAGAGGTTTCAGTACCTCATAGCCTACACCCTCGATCCATCCCATTGTGTTGATAACCATACCTGCAGCTCGGGATTCTGCATTGCCAGTAAATTGCCTCTCCAGCACTTGGGCAAGCTCCTTCACAAGCACTTTGTACAGATCAACGTTATTGCTGTTAAAGAACCTCAAACTTAGGGCATTGGAACACATTACATTTGGCTTAAAATGAAAATTTACTCTCAGCATAGCTTATTGTTAGGAAAATGAACACTGTAGAAGTTCAAGAAGAATAAATACTGCAGCAGATTTGTTTACCTTGGAGTTGTGTGTCCATAAAAGTAAACCAGGGGCATTTCGAGAGGGATGCCTTCCACAGGATCAATGGGCAACTCGATAGGGGTAGCAGCAATGCATCCAGGAATTGTTATAGATCCTTGGCCAATATCCAAATCCACAAATGTAGGCTTCCAACCCTGTTTTGCAGCCCAACTAAGAAGCATCCTTGACAAGGTGCTCTTCCCTGAATCGGTAGGCCCCACAACAATGACCCTTGGACCCTAATGTAACCAAAAAAAGAAAAATCTAAATATCAATAGTTAATGAAATTATGTTCCTACTATGTAAGTTATTAGGGTGACCCGAACACAAGAATCCCACAAAACTGACTCTAGCCCACCAGAGCAAAAACTAGCTCAGTTGAGCATTTTGAGTAGAAAAAAGAAAAGAAGAACCTGTGTAGAACCGGAGTCATCAGCTGATGAAGCTCTAGCACGGCTTCTTCGTGCTTCAAGAATGGCATGGACATTCACATAACCGATCATGGGTGTCTGTAAACAAACAATAGAGAATTGAATCTTAGTCATTGAACAAAAAATCTCTAGTGCAGAGAAGACCCTTGCCTTCATAGACTTAGATGTAATCCACAGCCTATACAAACCAGCAAAATTTATACCTCATCTGCCGTATAATCAGTTTCAGTCGCACCATCCATTTCAAGCGTGGCTCCATACCAAGTGAAGACCTTTAACATCAAACTCAAAATTTCAAAATAATGGAAGATCAAAGCAGACCCATCCCCTTACTTAAATACAATTTCAAACTGAACAGCATGCTTGTGAAATGATTGACCAAGAAAGATCAAAACTCGAAAGAAATTTGAAATAAAATTCCGTTCTGAAACTTATATAAGTCAAATTGGGCAAGAGAGCCTAATAGGTTAAATCTTACAGCAATTTTCAGCCTTGGTGGTAAAGTGAGCCATATTTCAGGAGGAAGCTCTGTGCCAAAGATCTCAGCATTGCCAGAGAGCAGCCGTAAACGGAGAGGCGAGTCGTTTCCAACTTCAATCCTGAGCTCGCTCTCCCTATCCAGCTTAACCTGTCTGACAGACGAAGTCGAAGCTGAGCCAGCCACCGTGGCAGGACCACCGTACGCCATGCCTCACCCAAATGCTAACTTTTTCGTTTTTCCCAAGCTAGATCAACAATTTTAGATGGTAGCCTTCTGGTTTGCACTCACTGTAACTATAAATATCTACTCTATGCCTCGGATAACGTCACACAACGATTGAGCTGCACGAGGCGTCAATGGTTCATTGAATCAAGAAATCAAATTTCAGCAAAATAGTTGGCGGGTTTAGGGTTTTAGACCCACAAAAATTAAAGCAGACAACAAAATAAATATTGAAACAAAGAACAGAACTCTAGAGTTGAATTCATCCAATCAATTGCATACTCGACAAATTGACATTTATTAACTTACTTCACAGATCAACATGAGTTTATACTGTAAATGTGAAGTGAGAAAATACACAATTTCTAAAGTGACGCGGAAAATTATTCGCAACGTAGCGAGACTACATTCAAAATTTCGTAGTGGTCACCATTGACTCGTATTACTACTTATACTAGCGAGTTAGTGTGCCCATTATGACGACTCTCACCTGAAGATAAATTATGGCTGGAATTTGGCTTTGGCTCTGCCACAAAATAGAAGGTAAAGAGAGAAAAAAACTGAGAAAGGCGATGACCGGAGGCAGTATCCAAGGGCGAGCTTGCGGCGGGAGGCGACGGCGTCCGACGAGGTAAATGGAGACGGAGATGTGCTGAAAATTGAATTGAGATTGAAGAGGGTACGCTTCTAGTGGGGATTTTATAAAACGCTTAAAAAAATACATAACATAAGCTATTATCTTATTTAATTTTTTTTTAAATAGATTACTTTATTATTTAATTATTCGTATTTTGTATTTTTTTATATAAAAAAATTATATATTTTTTTTACAAATGTTTTAAAAAAATAAATATGTATTTTCTCGTCACTCTATTAAAATATAATATTTGAAGAATATATTTTAATAATTAGTTATGGAATATATTTTACCATCAATATTTTTTCTATTTTTGTGATAGTTTATATCGTATTTAAACACTTTTGAATATTAATGAAAATCATACCTTTGTATGGTTGACCATATATATATATATAAGCGCATCTTTTGAGTGTGTCAACCAACCACCGTAACGGGTTAGAGACTTGGGAATAACTGCTGCTGCTCCTGTGGCCATTCCTTCTCTCTGCCGCGCTACACAATGCTGCGACGCCTACCGTTACGAGCTCTCGCTCTCGCTCACCGTCTTCCAACCACACCCATTTCCGCTTCCAGTACTGCTTATTTTCATCGGCAATGTTCCCTTTTTTCGTCCTCTTCTTCCTCCCAGATCCCTGACAATAATGTCATTCAGCGCTTGGGGCATGAAGAAGACGTTCTCAATCCACCTGATTGTGTAACCCGCCTGGATTGTGTATCTATCGATCGCTCTGGATTGTGTAACCCGCCTGGTACCACCTGATTCACCTCTACCTATCTTATTTGCTTATGTGTTGCTTTTACATGTCGAGATGAATGAGACCGTCTTTTTGGGTGGTGAATGGCAGAGCACTCTCACGAGCCTTCTTCTGACTCTGAGCTTGTCAAGCATTTCAAAGGCATTATCAAGGTTGGATTCTCTCTTTTTTCTTTCGTGTGCTTCTTGTGAGCTTCTTCTGCTTTGAACTCGTACATGAGGTGTGTGTAAAATTTCTCTGTAAGTTATCGCTTGTTTAGGATGCTACTTTATGAAGATACTTCTTATTCGTCTTTTGTGAGGAAATTTCATTCAGTGATTCCATTTTATGAAATTGCTCTGAAGTCTGTCTTTCAGTTTCATGCCAAATATGAATGGGATTTCTCTAAGTTTCTTGGAAATATGAGTAACTTAATCTGATCAGTTCTGAATTTCTATGCTAATCATAATTATTGTTCCAGTATTTACAATTTCTTCTGTGGCATTGACTAATTTAATGCGATTTCAAGAGAACGTGAACTCTAGGATTTAATGTGATCTTGGATCTCAGTTTTTTCAAGCAGACAGCTTATTTGAATCATTTTTATTGCATGCCATAAATTCTTTCTTGTTAGTATGGCAGTATCGTGGAGGACCAATTTCAGTAGCCGAGTATATGGAAGAGGTTTTGACAAATCCTAAAGCTGGATTATATATTAACCGTGATGTTTTTGGGGCGGAAGGTGATTTTATAACATCTCCTGAAGTGAGCCAATGTTTGGCGAGGTAATTCACCAGGATTTTTGGGTTCTCAATATCAAATTTCCTCTTCCATCATCTGTGAATATTGCTTAGTCACACACAATGAAATACATATATATAAATCTTTAATTCTTGGAGGTTTTCTGTTGCATACGAATGTTTCTCTATACTGCTTGCCAATGTTAGATGGTTGGTGTCTGGGCCATGCGCCTTTGGGAGCAAATGGGACGACCAGACAAGGTAAATTTGGTAGAATTGGGTCCAGGAAGAGGAACTGTTATGGCTGATCTGCTACGTGTAAGGATTACATTTCTTAGTTTTAATTTCTGCTACGTGTAGGAGTATTTAGCTTCCTTTCATCAACAAAACACCTTTACCAATTCAGGGTGCTTCCAAACTTAGGAACTTCACCGATTCGTTGCATGTACACATCGTAAAGTGTAGTCCAGCATTACAGAAGCTTCAGCACTCTGCGTTGAAATGTAGAGATGAAGATAATAAAGCTGATGGTGTTGAAAAAAGCAGTGTTAGCACATTGGCCGGAACCCCCGTGTCATGGCATCCCACATTGGAACAGGTCCCCTCCGGATGTGTGTATCTATCTCATTTCCCCTTTCTGTGCTATTTCTCCTTTTCTCTAAATATCCTTATTCTGAAATTATGATGTAACTGAATTTGTGTTCAACAATCTTTATCTCATAGCATGCAAGGCAACGGCAAATAATATTCCAAGAATGTTCAAAAGCATTGATTAGTGATTCTTGGTTTTTCTGATAGCTTGCTGAAATGCATTCCCCCTACTTTATCATAAGAATTGCAGTAGAAACCATCCTACTGTTGATAAGAAAATATATAAAAAGCTATTTTGTTCTTGCCTGGAGTATTTACGACGATCTGCTGGGCTGGATTCACATTTAATCGTACATTTAATCTTCGCTTATATTTTACTCTTTTACACTTCAGTTTCTCACTTCCTTTTCTCATTACTCTGTTTACCATTCTCTCTTCCAGTGCCAACAATCCTTATTGCTCACGAGTTTTTTGATGCCCTACCAGTATACCAGTTTCAGGTTCGTATCCTTTGTACCAGTTGTTAGTATTGGTTATAAGGGGTGAGTTGGCTAGGTTGTATTGGTTATAATAAATTGACATCAAGCTATACTTGCAAATCAACACTTCACACAAATATGACAGTTGATTCTTCAACATTTTGGTTAACTAATGTTGGGTCTTGGTTCTTCAAACATCTTGTATATCTTTTCTATACCAATAAAACCAAGTTGTTTTTTGTTCAAGAAAAAATATTGGATCTTGGAAGCTTCCTCAGAAATATATTCCAATAATCTCTCAAGGATCATCCTCGATTTATAGACAAATTTTTTATGAAAGCTTTTTTTTTTTTTTTTTTTTTTTTTTTTTTTTTTTTTTTTTTTTTTTTTTT